TGGAGTCTTTAGAAGAGAGATAAAAAAATTACTAACTGCTCCCGCGATAATGGCCGGACATTGGACGGACCGGTTTGTTTGAAATGTCGGACGCTGAACGGTCATGTTAGCTTTTGTTAGTCTCCACCAGGCTAACCAGGCGGGCTGACAAACGGTATAATGTACCCAAATAACGAGAGGAATTTGCCAAGAGAGTTTGACCACCATAGGGTATCATATACACACCAGGGGAAACGTTATTCTTTTCGCAGGTCTACCTCATTCAATAATTTTTTTGTCGAATTTTACAGTCCATAATCTTAGCTAGGCCTTAGTGGGAGAGATACAGGAAAAGTGCACAGAACTACTTAATTAACAGTAGACATAAAATGATTTTGTCATCCGGTGGATACCTGATTCTATTAATGAGTATTCATCAACAAGACGTTTTCTGTTCTCAATTTTTCTACGAGCAGGTTTCCTCTCAAAGTACCATGGATATCTCTCTAATTTCCTCCTCTGATCCTTACTTTGTTTTGTTATGATTAATATCCTTTGTGCAGACGAAGGCGTCTAGAAAAACTTACTAATTAAATAAGTCCCAGGCACAGATGGATTTCATCTCAATGACCTTCACACGACTGAAATTACATGACAAGTAGCATATTGCCTACTTGTTCCCTGGACGTTAGTTAATACGTAACTCTACTAACTTGGGTCGCTGCAAGGCCAATCTATTCTTCAAGCAGATGTTAGGATGGAAATTTACGCGTAAACGGTCTTTTAATTCTACGTAGAGCGTAGATGGACCGCTCTAATTCGAAGTACAGCCACTTAAGAATTTATCGTAAAGCGTAATTGAGAGGTCTCAAAATTTAGCGTAGAGCTTTATTGGAACCCCCCATGCAGCCCCCCTGATCGCCGGAGATGGTGCGTTATATATTCCTTGTGGATGCATTTGGGTCATCGAAGATAGCGGTAAACTTATCGCATCGACTTTAACTTAATTTTGATATCGGAACATCAGGTACTACCAATCTTCGAGTAGTAAGCTTTTACACTGGGAAATCGTTTTTTTCCATGCAGCCATGCGTGAAAGAAAGGACCCCTTACTAAAATGTACAGTGACAAAGGTCGAATCTGCTAAAGTGGGTCAACTGTTGTATTTTTTGATGTTATGTAATTTTCACTTGGTGTTAGAAAATACTTTTCATGGCTCTCTAAAATGAAAAGTGTGTGACCCAGTTTATATGATGATCTGACGTTAAAGTTAGTATATTTCTTTGACTTGTAATGATAAAATTGTTTAATTTAGCTGAGACTTACAATGTGACCATTGAGGTAAAAAAAAACATGATAAAACCAAAACACGTTTCATAATTTTGAGAAGAATCCAGGTTGTCTAGCTAGGTCGATGTTGGTAACGTTCACAGTGGTTAGGTCTAGTGCTGCAGTATATAGGGCGAAGTAACTAGTTATGAAATACAAAGAATTATCAATCACGACAAACAAATAGTGCATTACTCAATTTCTCTTTATTCATTTATCATTTATTAACATCTAACCCTCATACAGGCTAACAGGGAAATATACTTTACCACGGCAAAGCAAGTAGTGCATTCTCAACTATAAAGGTCAGGAATTTTATGAAAATATACGATCAACACTTATAGATTCAAACACAGCATTAAATTTCATTGTGAACAAAAGTAAAATTAAGGTATATTTCCAGCAAACTAATCTTAGAAAATACCATTGTCAATTCAGATTATGAAGAGCTAAATGTGTAAGATTATATACTGTTTAGTTGAAGTGATAGAAAAACACAATATTGAGCTCTTCTGCCGAGGTCACCAAAATAAGTTTTAAGACTTTATATTACAAATCTATTGATATATACCCCTAATACAGGCTGGCAAATATCATAATTAAAATGGCAAACCATCTGTTTCATCCGCAACAAATGTCACAAGAAAAAGAAGGAATGGTCAACATAAGTAAACTTAGAAAAAAACATTATTTTTTTTACATTTACATATATTCATAGATTTTAATTTTCACGAATCTAATAATATTAGATTTATGACAAAGAGGTTGTACAGCAAAAACGTATACTTAGATTGTCATTAGGACTAGTGACATATATGGAAAAGTATGATATCAGAAAATTTTCAGTGGATCCAACGATAAAAGTTATAAATCTTTAAAAATGTTATATCTATGTACAAACGTATCCACCCTCTCAGTGGAAAGAGGCTTTTGTTAATTAAGGCATTGCCTAAAATAAACAAGGACAAACTTCCCGTAAGAATACTGGTAGATCCTGTTATTTAAGGAAGCTATGTAAGGAAATATATACACAAATATAGTAAAACGTTAAACTTTATTCCAACACACTAGCTAAGGTCCCAATTGCGCCGGTGCCCGTCGGGGATGTAGCCCCGGCTGGCCCCGGCCTGGTTCAGGAGTCGAGCGGGCATCGGCTGTCGTGGTCACAATTAAAAGTTTTCTTCAGTAGCATTTTGTTAAAAATTTTGTGACCCTCTTTGGTCGGTATCCGGCAGGCACCCGGCAGGTACCCAGCAGATTCTCTGACGATGTCTTGTATTGACCTATACGTAATGCAGAATTCACGTATTTGTTGTGATCATTGGATCTGTGAGGTCACACATTTTACCCGGGTTTACGAAGTACACACCTTTATTCTGTTCATCTGGTCTGTGACGTAAGAAATGTGTCCCGGTGGAATGCCGGCAACCGGAGGGGTACCTCTCGGTGTTCTCACGATGAGGTCACGGCGTCTTTTTGTCAGCGGGGCCCGGGTAGAATTTAACTCAGAATTAAATTCTTATCGGGGCCCCGACGGGCCAAAAAATAGCCCGGTAGCCGCAGGGTGCCCCGCGGGGCCACGTCGGGGTCCCGCCCGAAAGTGGTAAAAAACAGCCCGGGAACTACCCGCCAGAGCCCCTTTTCCCAATTGGGACCTTAGCTTTACAGGGATCAAATCTTCAGTGACCACTGTCACCTTCATCAGGGTAATTAATGACCAATCACTTCACAACGTGATCTCGCGAGAGTTACGGTTTACAAACACGTGACCTTATTCACACGAGACTTTACTGATACGTGAGGTAAGAAACTGCCAACACAGATGAACTTTCATGATATATACACAAATGTCTGTTGTAAGACGTTTTTATACAGGAAACTGAGAAAAGTCTGCTTCCATCACATTTACATCACGACTTCCTGTCCAGACGGTCAACTGTCTCTTCACTGAACTACATTCTCCAATTAACAGCATTAATAACCCAAAGATGAATATTCACGCTGTACTTGTCGATTTCATAAGTGCTTTTGACACTATTTACAACGATCAGCTGTTTTGAACTTGGGCGATTTTGGTATCAGGCGACCCTTATGAATATATGCACCAACAGCTACCTAGAAGGTAGGACGCAGAAAGTCAGTTGGGGCCCTTGTATTTAAAGAATCACACCACGCCCAAGCAGGAGTTCCGCAGTGCAGGGTGTTGTCTCCAATACTCAGCCTGTTTTTTTTTTTTTTTTGCTTAAGTCCGTCGATCTCGGTTGGGTTAAATAAGGCAGCCTATGGCATACTATGAGTAGTATTTCATACATGCCTGTAACTTTTGATAGCTTGGTCGCACCACAACTAAACTTCACACAGTTCTAGTACTTGAAACACATTAAATAAAGGTTATTTTGTTTTTACTTCTTCTGAATTTTTGGGTTAAAAATCAACATTTTGGTTAAAATAAGCTGTTTACTTCATCGCTTTATATTTAATTACGCGCAAGCGGTAACAACACCTTTCATCATGATATTTTACAAGTAGAAAGCCAACCCCCTATTCACACGACATTACACGACGTCCCCACCATGTACGATGGAGTGACGCCCACCGAGCCTCATGGGCTAATTTGTTTAACTGTGTGCCAAAAACACGCTACGGATTTGGTGTGCCAAAAACACGCTACTGATTTGGTGTGCCAAAAACACGCTACGGATTTGGTGTGCCAAAAACAAGCTACGGATTTGGTGTGCCAAAAACACGCTACTGATTTGGTGTGCCAAAAACACGCTACGGATTTGGTGTGCCAAAAACACGCTACGGATTTGGTGCGCCAATGCGTCAACATCAGCACATTTGCCACCGAGAGCCGTTATTTTTTTTCAGATTTATCTGACATTAATACGCCCACTTCTTGAGCCAGCCCTGTGTGGGGAGGACTACAAAAACACATTTCCGCCATGTTTAAAGCTTTTCAATATTTCTGTCTGAGGATCATAGGAATACCTTATGACTAGTAGCTTTACTGTCCAGCAGACGTGACACAGAAACATTGAAAACATACCAAAACATTCTTTATGACAGCAACTCTCCACTGAATGATTTTCCCGTACTGACAATCTCTACTGTATGCGGCATGATGGACGCTACACGGTAATATAGAGCCAGACTAAAAGACACGAACTCTCTTTTATCCCTAGCTTTATCACTAAAACTGTATGGCTGCAGCTGATTGTTTGTCTTCATTTGTATTAGTGAGCGTTATCATTAACTCCGATCACTGATGAAGGACAGAGACAAGTGGAAAAGAAGAACCCATTGTCTCTTGTATTGACATCCCTGATGTCCCCATTCAATGTTCATGGGAGCCTGATCTACAGTCCTCCCGGTCTATTAACTTGGGTATTACTAAGAAATATGATCATTAGTACATGATCACTTCTCAGTGAGTTGCTTTTAGCCAAATAATGAAATCGTTTTTTTAAAAAGGTTGCCGCAAATTCTGTATTACTGTAACTCTCAATGTAAATGTTTGCGCACTTCATGTCCAATTTAATTCATCGGCAAGTCAACCCAAAATATATTAGCTGAATCTGAATTCCATTAATAAAATAAGAAAAAGAAATGAGAGTGAGTGCACATGTTGTTGGTGTCTTGCATTAATCACTTTGAATCCTCGACCTGTCAGCTGATTTAGTGTCTGGAATTTACGTTTTGAAGTTGGCAGGACGGACCATCATTTTGGACTTTTTCAGATAGTTCGTATAAGAGCCTCCAAACGGGGCCCAATAGATACCATAGCCACTGTGACCGGTAAAGTCAGAGGGACAGAGGTACGGGCCGTTCAGGGCAGACAAACCACAGGACTTGTACCACCACCCTCCCGTATAGGCATTGCTTACAGCACAGGACTCGGGATTGGTATCACAGTCTACATCCCTAGCACTGAAGGGCTGACCCGAGAGGTGGTAATCAGATATTGAGGACGATGAGCCGAACCCATCCCCTGCGGTCCCACTGTATCCACTAACAGAGAGGTGATAGTTGGAACTACTACTTCCCACCGAGAATGACGAATACCTGGCGTACTTGACAACATTATCCCAATCTTCTAACTGTACATACAACGTATACGTGTGCTGATCGGTCAAACGGTATATGTTCTCCAAACCCAGCCAGTGCTCCCCGTTGGGTGACCCAAACCCGTACTTAAAGGCGTCATAAGGTCGGTTAAAGTCGACAGACCCGTCAAACCTCCTCTGTATGACCGTCCACCCTCCCCCATCTGTGGTCTGATCACAGTATACAGAGATCGGGCTGGACAGACCTACAGGTAGTATTTTGTTAACTCCATCAGATACACCACCGTACCCAGTTTTGGCTGTGTGGATCTCAGAACAGTCGGAAAAGTAATTTTCGGGGCGCGTGCTTACGGCCGATGTAGTCGGGTCGGTGTGACTTGGCTGGCCGTCCACATTGTCTGGCTTCTCGGGCTTACGAGACAGCGATTCTGTAAGAAAACAACACTTGTTCAGGAAATGTCAGTTGTCAGTCACATTTTAAACAGAAAACAAGAAAAGGCCTCTAGTTATAGGCTCAATGGTATTTACTCTTGTTGAGCAATAGTGTACCTATTTAGGTTTTAAAGTTCAGCTTAAGGGACGGCGGCAAACCCTTCCACCTTAACCAAATTAAGGTGAAAACAAAAGTCCGGGGCACTCTGATGAGATATCTGTGGCGTCAAGTGGTTGTGACACGCAGGGTGGCGTAGTGGTAACCCTAAACAGTACACCTGGGGTCCGCGCGGACCCCAGTACTATATATTCTGTAATATCTTTTTTGTTTCTAAAGATTTTTTTCTGGAATTTTAGGTAATTGTTACCCACAAAGTTGTCTCTCAATACAGTGCAGAAAACTCCGTTTCTACCATTTATGAAAAAAAAATTATATCTGATTTTCTTTTGGGGTCCGCGCGGACCCCAGCCGGCTTTCGATCATAATTTATACACTGGCGTTCTTATACATTACCTTATTTCCGTTTTTATATGTTTTATGCACTCATCGTATGTCTACCAAGTTTTCAGAGAATGGTGTGGTAACAGAATTAAATTTTAATAACTTTGGTGTAATTATGACGTCATATGACGTCAGAGCTAATAATATAGTCCGCCATATTGGATTTTGACCAATGACGTCATCAAATTAGCATATTATATGCATATTAAATGATTTAACTTATATTTAATTATGTAAGATGTTATTAATGTTGGAAAAGAAGTGTAATTTAATATAAAACTCGGAAAATTTTTATGTTTAAACCAAAATTACTTCTATTTTCAAAAAAACTACCTGCTAGAAACCCGTTGCCATGGCAACAAAAACATCAACTTACTAGTATTAAACTAATATGAACTTTTCTCCAGAGACATTTTAGGACAGGTCTCCAAATTTGATACTTCTAGCGCAAGCCGTTTAGCCGCTATCTGAGGTCAAAGTTGGGCCTCAAAAGCCCCTTCAGTCTGAAATGGGTTTAAAAATCGGGTATTTCTTCTTGTCTTCTTTTCTTCACCAAAAAATAGAAAAAGTTCAAAATGTTTGATTTTTGTATGTAATGTGGACACAGAGGTTCCCACATCAGTTTGCAAAACAACTGAGCTGGTAGCATGTTGATAATTTCAAAAAACTAGCAAAAAACTGTTCTGGGGTCCGCGCGGACCCCAGGTGTACGGATTAATCAGTCCGGGAAGGTGTACTGTTGAGGGGTAATGTGTTCGACTATGACCCGGGTTCGATCCCGAGTCGTACCCAGGACATGTCTGGACATGCGCCCCGACGTTGTGCCCTTAGGAAAGGCACTTTACACGACTTTCCTCCTTCGACCCAGGTGTCAACGGGTACCTAACGTCTGTTGGGAAAAGTCGATTTGAGGCCACTTGACGCCGAGTGGCAGTCGCACAGGACCTTGCGAAAGTTTCGCAAAAATGTTATATGTGTATTATGTGATTGTTTATTATTATTATTATTATTATTATTATTATTATTATTATTATTATTATTATTATTATTATTATTATTATTATTATTATTATTATTATTATTATTATTATTATTATTATTATTATTATTATTATTATTATTATTATTATTATTATTATTATTATTATTTAGACCTCAAAATAATTCGATTTTGGACCCCCTAGCGGCTTCTTATGGAACTGCAGCTGAATTTCCGGTTTTGATCTCGTGATCTGGATGTGCTATGGTGACGACATTTGGATGGTAGGTAGCTCTTGTGCTGGGGAAGAAGAATGATAGAATGGCTTTCTTTGTTAAAGAGGAATTTGGAGGACCCAGGGTCCTCCACCAATAAAGAAAATATCCCCAGTGAGGATCTAGTAGCTAAATTGACCCCGCACATCCTCCCAACATCATAAATGGATTATAAGCCACGGGGTGTCTGAACCCAACTGCCAGTGGAAACAATGGGAGCAGACGACAGACAGTGATTTGCATATTAACTGACGTTTGAAGTTTTGAAAAATGTTGTATTTTATCTTCACTAGTTTTTCAACAAAACATTGCCATACAAGGAATGACACAGACAATTGCAGCAAACCTAAACACAATCCATGTAACATTTACTTGGCAGTCGTTATACACGATAAGGGCCTACCGTTTCCAATTTGAACAATTCCAGCAGAGATGAGCCTCTGTCAAGCTTCCATGTTTGTTTCAAAAACTTTATCTGTAATCACAAATTGCACGTCTTATCCACAGCCAAACTAGATTTCTATTGATATGATATGGTATGATATGGTATGTTAACAAATATACAATGTAGAAACATGTAGAAACACATTTGGCGGCTTCTTGCATTTTATTTTAGAATCCAAGTCTAAAATGCTGAATAGATGAAGTCCCAGTTTACCAGGATTGGCATCGTACATGCCTGTGTAGTTATTAGTCTATATTCTTGTTGTTTAGTAAAATATTATATGTACTTTTCATGTACATATCCATGTCTCCACAAAATGTTGAAGAGGTGTACTTGGTATACTATCTCAGCCTAGCTCTCCCCATGTGTTCACCACGGCTGCCAGTTGCAGAATGAGCTGTGAGAGCTTACAGTACCCGAATTTATTGGGTGGTTTTATAGTCCAACCTTCCTCTTTAAGATAAGGCTGTCTTTTGATGGAAAATATGATCAACTGATATAATTAATGCAAATGAGGATCCTATTTGCGTAATCAGGAGGAATCATCTTTGTCAGTCATAAAGATTAACATCATTTGGCGAAGGTATGAGATCGTGGGACTCTAGTTAGTATTATCTTATCTTTAATGACGTATGTTAGGTGGTAAAACATACAATTACGTAACTGTTCTTCTTCAAGCTACCGATAGTGATAAAACAAGTTGAATAGCTTAGTTTATTACAATACTGACAGTAAAGGTATTAAATCCTGTCTCCGATTGAAAAAAAAACTAATCTTGATCTAAAAGGATTTTGTGTTGCATTGAGTGCAACAATTCCATTTAGGTCTATTTAGAGTAATTTATAGAAAAAAAAACAAGATCTCCAAAACGACATTAAATTACGATGTTTAGAAACACTAGCCAGACCAATCAGAAATGTTCAAAGATCGTGTGGATAGACTTCTGAGAAGTAGTATCTTTGTTATGCATGCTGTGAACACAATGATTCAAGGTCGTATCAATGGCATTTGTATGGAACACTTGGTTAAATACTATGATGAAAATGGAGCGTTGATAGATGCAGGCCTTGTCCTGTTGGCATTTTTCATACAAAATTTTATTTTTCTTAATAATTTAATCAGGTCATAGACCCTGGAATTTGTTTGCCCTGTGGTGAAGTAGTATCTTCCGCATTCGTTGTGTTTTTATGTTAATGGACTTGTGGGAAGAATGCCTTACCATTCGAAGTGAAGTTTTCATGTGGGGCTGCCGTTTTCCATCCAGACGTTGGTGCTTTTGGAGTTGGATAAGCGACGCCCGGGCTGTTTGCCTTGAAGGAAAAGTAGATTGATTTATTCTTCAAGCTAACCGACCGTTTTGCACTGCAGTCGTCCCTACGTAACATCTGGGGCAGTTCTTTGGCTTTACCTATTTATCACTGGTATTCCAGAGGGATTTAAGGTATGAAGATGGATGTTTTAAAGATGCAAAACTGGTAACATTAGGATAATACAAAAAAGGTAATGTTTATAGTCATCTCTTCCACAATATCTTGGCATACTAATAAGTATCATAATGGAAGTGTATGTGCCGAAATATGTTTCCTTACGAGTGTGTTAAAGGCTTGAAAACAGCTGTCAACCATGCTTGTCTCAACATTCTGGTAGTTTTTGGGTGGCACAACGAACTAAATACGCCTCGTGTGGGCTGCTTTAGCGCTGATTATGAATGTAAGAAATGTGACATAAATGCACTAATATGTTTACATGTGAAGTACATTACAATCAAATAATTTATTTTTTTATTTTTCGTGCATAGATGTTTCATGACGCCCCTTAAAACTTAGGTCTGTGCAACAATATGCGTTGGTATAGCCATTTAAATTAAATTGTATTGTATCTCTAAAACCACCTAGAAATTTGGAATTATGTCGTACGTTGTCATTAGCAAACTAAGACAAAAAACCGTCCTTACACTTCCAGCGAAAGTTAAGATTCGAAATACAAGATTACGAAATAATTTGCCATTGCTTGTACTGTAGACGTTTTGGTCTCTACAGCATAATGCAAACATATGCAAGTACATGTTTGTACATGTTGAAAGTAAAAAGCAGGCTTGAAACATTAATAAAAACACTAAAATATGTTCAAAAGTGGGCAAAATACAGTACGCACCTGTGGACATGTGGAACCCTGATAGCTCGTGTAAAAGATCGCAAGGAAAATGATGGTCGATAACACCAGGTTAGCAGCTGTCACGGCAGCATGTTTAATCCACATCCGTTGACATTTACATACTGAAAAAAGGTCATTATAGCAACATCAAAGCGACATCAGCCCAGCACGTTGGTAGAACATGCTGAGTCTGAGTGAAACCTTTATTGTTTTGTGCATAGCGGTTTAACAAAGCGTCTCGTTTAACCCTACCTAGACCGGGCTTT